GCTCCCTCCGACTGCTGGATCCCGCGTGCTTCCAGCATTTTCCAAAGCGCCTCCACGATTTGCACAGCCACTGGCAAGATGAACAATCCGGTGCCATCGTGTTTCGCCCTGTCCACTTTCGCTCCAAGCAGATCGATTTTCTTTATCCAGCGGAGGATGAGTGCTGCCCCGTTCCGGAGCATTTGAGCATGCGAAGTGTCGATGACTTGCTGGAGCATGAAGAGGTCAAGTACATGTTAGTCGCCTTGAAACAAGAAGGACTGGATCTACTTGGTAGGTTTGAGCATGCAGACTTCATACATGCTTATGCACGATGTGACAGTGATGACGACAGTGTGGTGAAAGTCGAGCTCCCGCGCATCAACATGGCTTTCGACGTCGAGGACGACATCTTAGTGTCCAGAGACTATCGTGGCTACCGGCTGGCTGATACTCAAAAGCTAGCTGACACGCTGGTTGACTTTGACTCGTACCTTGTGTTGCAGAGAATCGATCCGAACGACAACGGCTGAGTTGATCGGATGTTTGCACAGCTACGTAGTCGCTGTCATAGCGGCATTGTGTAGTATTCTGGGAGCCACTGAGGACACATCTCTGCCGTCCATCAAGATCATTGTGCAGAATGCTGAAGTGAAAGAAGGAGTCCCGCTGTCCCTCAACATTGACACTGACAGCAGCTCCATCAAGGAAGCCGTAGCTCGGCATGGACTATCACACTCTCCATACACGTCTCCCTCTCCCTCTCCCCCTCTGTTCTTTGCTTGATCTGAAATGCACAGTGGCCCTGTTGATTGCAGGTTTGCTTCGACGTGCATGAGCGCTTCAAGCACCTCCAAGCCGAAACTGTGCAGTCCAGACTTTTCCTGGCCAGTCTATATGCAGGGACGGACTGCGATGTGTCCGACCCGCGGCTTCAGGCACCTGGGCGGAATTGTTGGAGTATATATTTTTTCCTGGTGTGGTGTGTGTATGTATAAAAATAAGTCATAAACATAGAAAATAATGTAAGGTGACGGGAATGGAGGCGGCCTTGGATCTACTGCGGCAGTGTTGGATCAACCGACCTCTGACAAAGAAGGAGCGTTCGCGCTCCTTGCCCTGGGAACTTCATGGGACCTCTTTCTGTATCTTCTGCTTGCATTCAAGTCATGGGCCGACAGACCTCGAACCCCGAGGTGTCGAGGGATTGCTCAAGTTTTGCTCGCGACCGCCGTTTGCAGTCA